TGCGATCTGCGATTTGCGATCCGCGATCGTCTGCGATCGTCTGCGATCATATGGAAACCAGCCTTTACATCAACGCTTTGTTCTTTGCTTTCCCCACCGTTTGCTCATAGAATCCTAAGCGAATTAACCGTCACGGCTTCAAAACAGAAGGTCAATTTCTTAGGAAACCCTGTTGTTTGTTACGTCGCGTGACTTTTGCATGCTTGTAGTCTTCATTTCATATTTCAACTGTGGGTGATTGCTGAAGCATCTTGTAGTTACTATGTAGGGACACACATTACATTTTTGACTTTGTTGCCTATATGTTTTGAACATCACGTCTTTACTTCACCTACGTGTCATTTCCAAAACAAACATTTGTAACATCAGGAGTATTTCATTTGCATTGCAAAGCGTGTTTCCAAGAATTTTTGAAGTCCCAAAGTCCACTTTCTAAGAAACGGTCTTGATACGAACTGAATTGAAGCCCAATATCACTGACTCAAGTGATTTTATTAGGTGGATAAAACGAACATTCGATCTGGGATCTGGAGGGCAAATCAGTGCTAGACTTAACATGTTACTCATTAAATGATAACAGATTTAAGGGTCAGTAAGGAAGTTAAGGAACTTTGTGTATGTGAACCGTTTCATCTTTTCACAACATAAATCTACTGGAGAGGTAGATTTTAATCCTTGTTTTGATATAATGTATGTTTTAGATGCAGGGTCCCTCTGGATACCAGCCTTCGTACTGAATGGGCCACCCTATATGGAAGTAAAGTTTCACTTTCTTATTTAATTGCTTGCTTTTAAAAACGGGAAATGAAAACTGAAATTGACGGCGGCAAGCAACGAACTTGGGAATACTACATAATCAACGGTGCAATCACTAACTGCCAATATTGTTTACCAAAGTGCTTATTACATCAGCTCAACACTGCAATTTATTCCCTGGCATTACAAAATTTTTCGCCTTCAGGGCATCTCTAATGTAGGAGTTTATGAAATAGCATTGTTCTATGGCTGAAATCAACTATTGTACTCTGCGTGATACAGATACTACTGCGCTAACTTGCATTCGAACAAATAAAATCTGAAAGTAGTCCGTTGAAGTAAGTGGACAAATCTGAACTAATTCTTTTACGAGTATTCACGCAGAACAAGAATATTTCTGTTTCCGGCCGATTGGCTCGTTATTAACTATTTAAGAAATGAGAAATTGTACGGAGTAAAATTATGGCTATGTCACTGATAAGTTTCATTTTCAATTGTTTCTTTCAGGTTTTGGAACACATTATGGAAAAGTGTTGAGCGTGTACCTAAACACATGTCACTTTCCTCTTCCTAGTAACTGTCGAATGATCATGACCGCCCTCGTAAGTCGAGTCGGTTTAACGACCCGTCCATGGCTAGTACGGATGGAGGAGCGACTACTGTACGTGTTACGGGAGCGAATACTGTTGTTGAAGCGAATGCTGCTTGTGGAGCCACTGTCAGTGCTGTCGTTGGAGTCAGTGCTACTGCTGGAATGACTGCTGCTGCTGTTGGAGTCACTGCTGTTGCTGTAGCGACTACTGTTGCTGAGGTCAGTGCTGTTGCTGAAGTCACCAGTGCTGCTCAAGTCAGTACTGTTGCTGGAGAGACTGCTGATGGTATAGCGAATGCTGCTGTTGGCGGAGCGAGTGCTGTTTCTTGTGTCAGCACTGCTGTTAGAGCTGAGGGAACTGTTGTTGAATTGGAACTGTTGCTGGAGGTCTTGGAGCCATATCATGGCTCGATGAATGGTCGTGACTTTATCATAAACCTCTTGAGCGCTTGGTCGATCTTCACTGTCGTACTGCAAGGCCTCCATAACGACTCTTTGTAGACCCCTGAGCCCTTGAGCTTGGCTCGAGAACGTAATGCTGATACGACGATCAACCGTTGCCATTGC